CACGATACACTAACGCAGAGAATAATTTTCAAGGCGGCCGAAATCCAAAGTCGCATTCTGTTTAGTACGTCATTGAGAACGCTGGGTGTTTAATAGCTTTCTGAAAAGAATTAATTTTCCTGTCACGAAAACGACCGTTTTATTGTTGAGATTGAAGGAGACGTAAGGCGAAAATTAGATTTTTCCTGACTATTTTTATAGATCATTTTTTATCGCGGAGCTAGAAGTGTCACGAGTCCGGTCTTCTAAAGCTATCAGTCAATTTCAGCCTTGAGAGAAATACAATAGAGGGATTACGCGGCAATAGAAATTGTATCTGCATTGAAAAATTGTTGTTTCAACTGAAAATAACAAGAAAACTCACACACTCAAAATTCAATGACGTTACGATTAGGTGCTTTATTACCTGTGTTTTGTCCTTAAAAAAAAAGAACTTGAATTAACGATATAGCCCTGTTCGTTATCTTGTTCAAGTCAGATTTATGGGCCCTTATCCTTTCGGCTGTTTGAGTTATTCTTGGGTTCCTGTGGCGGGGCGGCAGGGGATTGCATGGTCCTCTGTCGTCTTCTTTTGGCTCTTTGCCCTGTGAGTAGAGGTCGCAGCGTACTTCTTTGGCTTTGCGGCCGTTTAGGCACTGTTTCTTTTTTTATTTTCCGGCAAGCATGGATTGCAGTACCGGAAACTTCACTAGAAGCGCCTGCAGCTGCCCTAAGGCCTTTGGGAGACCTTCAGGAGAGCTGCAGGCGTTCTCTGACGATAAACGGCCCTCGCGTACGGGACGTCACTCCTGATTGGGTTTCTTCCGACAGGCCTTGGGTGTGTGGTCTGTCTGTTTTCGTTCGGCCTATCTGAGGCTTTTATTTTCAGGGCGTTCTGGGCACTTATGGAAGCTCGCTGGGTGTTCTCCCTTGCAGTTAAAGCATCGCAAGGGAGAGTTTTTAGGTCTTTTGCATTCCTTGGTCATGTCCCGTCCGGCACATCTAACGCAGGCTTGAACTGCTTTACAGTTGCGTTGCGTTTGACCAAACTTTTGGCATCTGTAACATTGCCCTGCTCGGTTTCTCGGTTTCTGTGTTTCGGCGCTTACACGCACGTTTAGAATTTCTGTGATCTCATATATTTTGTTTTGGCTCCTTGGAACTAAAACAAGCACGAACGGTATCAGGCGGGCTACGGAAAGGATCTCAAATCCTTTGCCCTGGAGTTCAGTCTTGATGTCGTCACACTCTATGGTTTCCGGGACCCCGCGAAAAACTACTCTGAGTGGTTTTTCGCTTTTCATTGTATAGGTGTGGTAGGGTATTTTCTCTTGATCGAGGATCCGAGTAATTCTTCTATAATCACCTGTATTTTTAAGATGGACTTTAATTCCATCTGTTGTGTTTACCGCCCGCAATATGGAGATGTTTTGCGCAGCAGCAATCGTGTTAAAAGCTTTCCACTTCTCTTTTGCGCGTCTCTTACTAGTTCTTCGTCGCCTACTTCCATTGAGTCAGGTGGCGAGACTTCTGTTTCCTCTATATTTGCCGACTTATTTTTCTGAGTGGGCTTTTGAATTTGATCTTCCAGTACCACGCCCGGCTTTTGTGATAAGGCGGGTGTAGTTTTATTTGATTTTGGCTTATTGGTCCATTTAGTCTGGGAAAAACCGGGTTTTGACTGTTTTATTTGTTGAGCCGTTTCTGGCTCTTTTTTCTTCTTTTCGGGGCCTTTGCTTCTTGGCTTTCTTCGCCCGACATAATATCGTCGCTGTCCAGATCGCTGATGTTAGAGTCGGAGTCGATAAGACGATGAATTAGACGTTTTTTGTTTCTCAAATTCAAGTCCATTCTCTTTGCAAAGAATTTGGTAAATTTTCGTTATGTGGACACCCGGCGATTTTGAAAAAATGTTTGACTGTACTTACGTATTTTGATGCGTAGATTACGAATCCGAAAGAAAAAAGCGGCGCTCTCCCTTATTTAAAAAGTTACGGCCCTTCAAAGTTCAGAAAAGGGCAACTTTTCAGCCTTCTTTTTCACTAAATAAACTATATAAAAACACAAGCATTTATTCACTAGGTCACCTTTACACCTTATTCGTCCTTCTTTAACACTTTTCACTTCAATAATCAACATTTTTCTTATAAAAAACTTAATTTAAAAACGAATGCTTCTCCTGGTGACATTATTCATTTTTAGGTTAGTTACTAGTGACATTTCAGAAAAAAGCGGTTGGTATTTGCCGTCGCCTACTATTTCAAATTCGTAATACACCACCAAAAACCAATTTACGATCTAAAGAATGAAGGTAAAAAAACATTTGAATTACTTCAGGAATATGGACTGCATCAGTCGTACCAACCATATCATTAACCTTCAAAACGTAAAATACAGTGATATGTAACCAAAAAGCAGCTCCGTAGATTTTTAACATTTTTATAAGAAAAATGTTGATTATTGAAGTGAAAAGTGTTAAAGAAGGACGAATAAGGTGTAAAGAATTTATATGCTTCCACTAGTTCGGTACTACTTATTTCATAGTATTTTATAATAGTTGACATTATAGCCAGACCTGCTTCTTTTGGCTTACGAACTTTCGTAAAACTGAAAATCGTTTCTATAACTTGTTCCATCTCGAAAGATAGATGCTACACTTCGAAATTAGCACAACGAAAATTTGTCAACTTGACAGCTGTCTGACACCGTCTATGATATAGCCCTGACTATAACATAACAATCTGCACTGACAGCAGACAAGCCCTATTAGCGTTGAACACACAACGTGTTACCTCAGGGCTAGTACTAGAGTGCCACCAAGATTTAGCCAAAGCCTCGATAGATAATAACATTATCCTGAGGTGGATTAAAAGCCACGAAAGGAGTAAAGGTAATCGCATTGCCGACTCTTTAGCCAAGGAAGCGGCTGGACTAAGAATTTTAGGACCCAGTGACATCTGACATCTACGGCCTGATGACTTCGACAATTGCTGAATTAGTCAAACGTCACACCCATGCTGAATCCCTAAAGAGATGGGATGAAATCAAAGAATGCTGTCTTGCCAGGATCACCCTGGGCGACCCTGTGAAGCTGGAGCCAAAGAAATATCTGGCGATGACCAGAAAAAACCTACACTTAACAGTAGGATTTCTGACTGGGAAACACCTCCATAATGTGGGGCTAGTGGACACACCTCTATGAAGGATGTTTAAACAGGAAGATGATACTGTCAGGCATGTCCTATGCGACTGTCCAGAGTTATCGTCAATAAGAGAGTGTGTGTTCGGCGAGTCTTGGCTTACACCTGCCGATATAAAGGAGATGTCTTCCAGAAACCTGTCTTAGGAGGACAACTTCTCGGGAGGATGTAGAATGGGTCACATGTGGCCTAAGTGCTGTGAACTTACACTCATCCTCCCTCTTCTACAGATACAGAACGCCTATGTTGTTATTAGTAAATTATACTTAGTGTGTGAATTAAAATGGCTACTTCAGTTTTCTCGCCAGTAAAACGAATTAGCAAATGTGTAACACTTATTGAAATCTTGAACACGAATATCAATTTGAATAACTTTTCATAGGACATTCTAGCATAACCATCACAAAATCTAAAGGCAACTCTGATAATGATTTAGATATCAGGTCTAACTTTCAAAAGAGAAATCTGCTTTGGTAGATAATGTCAAATAATCTCGATGAGAATCCAGATTTATATTTATCTTGATAATGAAGCTTGCTTCTCGATCCTTCACTTTTAATAATAAAAATTGATTCATCTCCGTGTGAACTGCCAATTTGGCAAAACTTCAACTGCAAAATGTAGACTTTTGTTCAAAGAGGAAACTGTGAACAGTTGTTATACTATACAATTCATTCCCTGATAAGACAGAGTTTGAAACATTTGTGAAACCGGATGGATAGTTTGGGGATAATAGTTATGAGATTTTTTCCAAGAAGAGATTTGAAATTATTTATGCAACACATTTCAATCAAATACGCTTTCTGTTCAAAAATATTTACTCATTCATCGATTTCTATTTGGTCCTCTTTAAAGTAGTTCCCCCCTGAGTTTTGTCAAATATTTTTTGGTACGTCCTTGAGCTTTCTTGGCGATTCGGTATTCATCTCCTCACTTGTCGCAAAACGCCGTCCTTTCATGAATCTCTTCAATCTTGGAAACAGGAAAATGTCATAAGGGGACAAATCTGTGAATATATATGAAATATATTTTATTCTTAATTACAATTCTTGCTACGCCTCCAGCTGTTATATTTTCACGCTCAAGTTGTACAATACGTTTAAAAGATGGAATAATTTTAGTATCATCATTTTTAAGCAATGTCTCACATAATAAAAGAATATTACAACCTCGAGTGACCGAATCAATAAGATCGAGACTATGAACATTGAGGTTTTGACAATCAATTGTAAAAAGTAACATTCCTCTTTTATTTGAAATGAACTCAACGAAACTGATGGCGTTGAGAAACGCTAAAGATATACAGAAATTCAAAATACAGACGCTGCGGCAGTGGATTTGTTCCATGCTTGTTACTGACAAATCATATTATACTATATTATTAAACTTACCTTTCGTTAGGAGATTCTGTACTGTTCCCAGGATCATCTTCTGCTTGTTCCACCAATTTTTTTCAATCACTTTCAAAAGCGGTGGTAGTTTTAGGTTATATGTTCACTGTCAACAATATATGTCTATCGCACACTAAACACTGAGTCATGCGAAGAGAGGGGAGAGAAACGTCTGTCCAAAATACGTCTAACGCTGTAGATTACTGTGAGAGAGGAGGAGCCTGCCTGTCACTGACGTATGCGTAAGAGGGAAGCCAAACAGACTGGCGCCGTTACGCGTTACGTCACGAAGCAGTGACGTAACTGCTATAAGAAGTTATCACTTCAATAAAAAAATCCCTAACCGAATGTTAAGTAGCCCGCGAAATTTAAACGTTCACTTTATTTTTTCAACAGACTTCGTATATGTATTATATATAGTTTTACTTACGTTTGGTCATTATCGGTGGCAATCAAATATCTTCCTCTGTGGAATGGAAACGTACGAATTTCAAAAAATCCTAGTCCGCTCAACATGTTTGACACCTGAAACAATCAATGAATCAAATAAGCATATTTCAAAACTACCAAGGTGACGGTTTTCTAGGGAAAGGTTTTTGCTAGCCAATTAAGAATTGTGACGTGAACAACCTGTGGCTTGGGGGGATATATTTAGATGTAGGAAAAAATCTTGGTTAGTGATAGTCACACATACTTTTACTTTGTACAACCATGTATCTAATGATTTCAGAGATATACTGCGTGGAAGCCGCAGGCTGACGTTTCGTCTACTATTGCGGTAGACGTTATCGAAGGCGATGTGGTAACGGTCGCAGGGACCAAGTTTGTGCTCAAGTTGTTGTTCCAAACGCATTAACTAAGATGATTGATTCATATTAGTATTTGTGTGCCTGGCTTGGGTTCTCTCAATTAGACTACCTGACCTTAGACTACCTGACCTTTAAGAACAGGTAGCCAGATTTTATTAATGTTCGAACTCTCCTTCGCTGTACCCATTCTCTTTGAAGACGTCTTTTGTTGGAATAATTCTACATCTGATGTTGAAATTCTACCTTCGAACAAAAAAAATTTGTTTTTCAATTCTCCAGAACAATAAATCTCTTTTAATGAGTCAGTGGAGGTTATGAATGGTCGTTGTAAAAGTATAGTGTGTTTCAAAGCACCTCCGAAGTATTTTCAAGAACTGCCCGCTAATGCATAATGTTGGTTTACAAGAATAGAAGTTCTATCCTGCTCTATCTTGAAAAAAGTTCGTCAATGCAGAACAATTTTTTGAACGTGGCATTCGTACAATAACCCCTCTTTGAAAAAACGCTTGATGTTTTTCAAAAACACCGTGTCGTGATTTAACAACAGCTATAAATTACTGCAAAATATCTTCGCAAATGTATTGTGCTGTGCAAAAGAGTAAATATAACTCGGAGATGATTTCGTTCGCCAAACTATTTTTAGAAAACGAAATTTTTGGAACCCGCCAAAAGCATTCGGTGACAATTTCGAACGTCGCGACCTCTAAAATCGTTCAGATTCCTTATATAATTCATCAGATGTGTAATAAATTCGTATGGGGAAAGTTTCTCGCCGTTTTCCTGTTTCATTTCCCCCTCATCATCAGAAATATCCATTTTCCTTGTCTACTAGATAAACAGTCATAAATCTTCATGGATCATTACAGTAACAAAGTCGTTAATAATAAGTGTTATTGGACATGGATATAACTGTATATTGTTTGAAAAATCACAATAAATGATGATAAAAGTGTCAAAATTATGGTGAAATTAGAATTAAATATTAAATCAATTTATTATCCAAATCATTGGCGAACACAGTAAGCGCGCTAACCTCAGAAATTATATGATCCGGCATTATAAACAATTTTCATATGCTATTTTATTACGAATGCCTTTTAACAACTAATATAGCCTAAAGACAATTCCAGTTGGTTCAGTCAAAAAGTTCAAAATATCAAATGTGCTTTCTCTGATTCTTCCCCGATTCAACTGACGCCATCTATGGGAGAACTAAATCCCCGGATATCAAAAATGAACAAGGCTCCCCAAAACAGTCAGTTGTAAAGCCAAGCCAAGCTGTTGGACCTCTGTTTTGCAACCAGTTGCCTTGCAGTGAAAGACCGAGAACGAGTTTTTTTTTTATCTGACCAACTTGTGGAGCCTTGTTCATTTTGAATATTCGAGTCTTAAGTTCTCTGTTGATCCTATAGATGGCGTCTTCGTAAGTGGAGATGTTATCGTCTTTCCTCACTCAGACTTGTCCTTTAAGAACAGCTGAGCCTAGCAATGCATTTATGACCAAACCGACGAGCTAAGACTCCTACCGAATGAACAGTTCTGTTTCCAGTCAGAACACTGTATGGAACATCAAGCTCTGAGAGTGGTTGACTATGCGATTGAAGGTTTCAACCTGGGCAACGGTTACCACACCAGAGCGATTCTTTTCTAGCTGACCGACCGATGCAGAGTAGGAAATGAATTCTCCGCTACGCGACTTCTGGAATCAGGAGTCCCACAAGGCGCAGTTCTATCCCCAAACGCTACGCGGACGACACAGCTCTACTGGCAAGATCCACCAAACACGCGTTAGTTACAGGATACCTGTTATAACAAGCGGATAGACCAGATAAGTGGGCCAAACTGGATCACCCTACTCCAAATCATCCTATGTGCCTCCACTGCCTGGGGCCAGTGCGCCGAGTCATACAGACATTCGTCTCTCTCAACGTTTCTACACTGTGAGATCTGGTGAATGCCTTCCGAAAAACAACTATTTTCCCGGTTACTACCATGAGGGACATTGGATTATATCCGACAGATATTCGTGGCTTCGTCCACGAGATGGGGCTGTTACTAGTTAACAAATTTTTCTCTAAGATGAAAGAATCAATATGCAATGACGATGGGTAATACACCAAACCGGACCGTAGGAGGTGTACTTGATGATTTTCAGTGAAACTGCTGTTAGATGAATGAGAAACATCTGTGTGGAGTAACCCACATTAATGTCTGTTGGATATAATTCAATGTTCATCGTAGTATTAGCCAGGAAAGTAGCTGCTCCCTGAGAGGCATTCATCAAATCCTACATTGTAGGGATTTTGGGAGAGATGAACGTTTTTATTTCAAAATATTCAGTATCTAAGCAAGCATAATTTCTAGAAAGGTTTTGTTTGCATATCCATCATGTACAGATCTGTCACTTTACAGCGAATGTGCCGAAAAATAAGTTATTGGTGATTTTAACATTCACAATCATAACATTCTTCCACGAAACCTCACGGATATGAATATAATTTTAGACAGAGAATTTTGTACTACTAAAGATGTCATTTCGAATATTATTTACATAGCTTTACAAATTTTATATACATCTTTATATCTACACCTCTGTCTTGACATACCTACACAATTATGTTGTGAATTTATCACGTAAACATTTTTGTAATTTTTAAAGGTCAATAAATATCTTATCTATTTCCTCAAATTGTTTGACCATGCTGGAATAAGCATTCCAACAGCAGCAGCAGATATTGACAAATACAATCCTAAAATAGATCTACAGGTTTCTATATTAAACGGAAGTACCACCGAAAAATGGCAAATATTTCTGAAAATCGATATTCTTTTCAGGAACTCTTACCTGATATATGCTTAAATTGCGCTTGATGTTGGATTGCAGGACCAAAAATGGAGGCTTAATGGGTTTAGGATCATCACCATCAAGTTTCTGTAACATGAATGATAGTAAGATTTGAAGAAAAATTAATGTGCTATACCTAATCTATATTGATTCTATAAAATCTTCAATGAATAAAGAAAAACAATTTGTACTCGTATGCTCATATTGACAACTTCTCTATTGAATAGTTCTCTATCAAATAGACCCCAAATTTGGCAGAACTTTCTGCATATTTTTGTTGAAAGTCCAAGTTTTGTTGTATCAATAGTATTACGAAGTATAGCTTTTTTGTTCACAAAAAATGTGTTCTCCTAGAAGTCATCATTTTTTGAAAATTCTGCGTTCAAATCATGATATTCATGTATAAATTTCTACAAAAAGATGGGAACATTTTTTCAAAGGAGTCAGTGAAGAACATGATAATCTGGAAACTATTATAGTTAGATACCATCAAATATAACGGTTTTCGTCATTAAAGTTTCAATGAAAAAATATCTCAAGCTTTTCCTTTGTCAAATTAAAAATTTTATGGGAAACTGTTTCAATATGTAGAAGTTATCACCACGCATGATTTTAGAGAATTCACACAGGAATTTAATTATTCATTTCAATAGAGACAGAGATATTGCATATCACATAATTTGCACTAACAAAGGGTTGATTATATTTGAAAATTTTCACCACATATTTTAAACATTTTTGAGTTTGATAGAAAAAAATTGATATACTGTTTTCTTAACATTACAAAATATGGTATAATTGAAATATTTTTGTTGTTCTGATGCATAATTACTTGGATCTTCTAAATTTTCATGAGATAATAGTGTTCTGTCATCAGCATAGGAATAATTAGGAGTTATTCATGTATTGTAGATATCATTATAGAATACTAAATACGGAATAGGCCCTACTATAGATCCGTGGGGCACCCCATGTCTGTAATATTACTGTCTGATTTGATACTATCTGTTACTATGACTTGGGTGATTTTTTAAGTAGGATTCTATCCAATCAAGCTGTCAAAACCTTCCAAAACAATGTTTTTGGGAAAAAGTGTCTGGGAAAAATTGGTTTGAATTAATGCAAAAGTTCTTCATCTTGAAAGTGAATATTTGAAATATCAACGAAACATTTTGTTACAAAAAGTGTTTTTCCTAGAATTTGTAAAATTGAAAAGGTATGAGTTTTTCTTGTCCCCTACAAAGATGATTGAATTCATCTTCCAGAGATACATTCAGAAAACTCACAATAGAATCAATGTAGGCTTCAAAACTGTGATTTACTTACTACACAATGAACAGAACACCTAATAACATTTATCTTGTTCTTGAATTCTTCGAGGGCCTGAATAAGATGGGGGCTCACAAACGGTCTCAACCCAGAGTAGTTTCTGTTCAACGCCCAAAATGCCATACACAAAAAAATATACCCTGTACAGTACGAGTCCCAACCAGCTTCATGGTACTTTTCAACATAGCCGTTGTTCGCGTGCTCTAATTTAGGTACATCGTACACCAAAAACCGTCCCACGTCTTGGCTGAAAAACCGGTAAAGGAAGTCCAAACCTTTGTCATGCCATCTCTTACGAAGAGGAACTTCCAATTTTATTGCACGAGAGATATGTTTCGTATCGAAAATAACGGGAAAAAGTTGGTTCATACGTTTTTTAAAACAACTGTAAGAGGAAGGCAATGGGCTGTCGAAGCTGTGGACCATCAGAAATAAATCTTGGAAGCAATTATGTCCCACAATTGGTTTCTTAAGGGACGCTAAAAGTCGAAAGACCCGCGTGAAGCCTAAAAGCTGGGAGATAAGCTCCTCTTCCAAGTTTTGCGATGCCTCCAGCTTTGCACACTCTTCGACAGTGAGTTTCTGTAAAACAAAATCTTTGTTCTTCTCATCTACAAAAGTCCACACCTTCGAAAATTTGCACCTGAAGCGTTTATGTATGAAATAAAGCATTTCATAACTGTTCCAAAATTTATCGTATATCTCAGGCAGAGAAAGTTTGTCTCCGTGTTTTGCAACCTTGTACCATTCTCTCACTTTTTTGCGTACTTCAAAGAAGAGCGAGTTCAATTCCAATTTCGATTCAGCCACATCGTTTGTGATGGTACCCTGCTTCAACTTTTTCCTGAGGGTTTCTTCTTCAGGACTGCTCAAGAAGGGTAAACCTACGGATGCAAACTAAAAACAAACTGATGAAGAATTGATAACATTTGTATGTAGAGCCATGTCAGAAAACTGCCATAGTAAGTTTGCAAATGTTACTGATTCCAAAATGTTACCAGCAAATTAAGAAAATATGAATAGTGATCGTTCAGCCTGGGGCTGGAACCACCGACCAACACGGCGGTCAATTCGAGTGAGTGAAAAAGCACCCACATCAAACCGACTGGCTACCGATCGAACAAAAGTTCTTTAGTAAATAGTTAGTAGTTGTCAATAATCATTCCTAACAAAATTACCAGAGAATACGAAGTTGTAACGTCACAATCTGATTTCCGTTAAGCAGCTGTTACTCCCCCTCAAACCCTCAGAAGTCAAAACTTGTACAAGCTTAGAATTCACGGGGTCTTACCTTTTAACATGTGATTCTCAACATTCACCAACAATTTTTGGTTTATAGCAGGTATTTCTTGCATTAAGGAATGCATCATCTGGATATAACATGCTTTTGATGTTTTTACAAACAACAATATTACTGAAATGAAATGAACATAATACAGGCTCTAGAACAGAACCTTGAATGATTTTTTTAGATCAGCTGTATTGCACTGCTCATGTTCTGAAAAACAATTTTGGGGGATTCTCTAGTAGACTGCCATATGACTACAGTCAATGCATCATCTTCGTTGTAGGAATTTTTCTTTCAGTCTCTTTAAAAATGGATACTGATGCCAATAAATATGAATAAAAAGTCCGCGTTTGGAATAAAGCTGAGCTCCAGGTATGATAGCTTCTATAGCTTTGGATGTTCCTTCTGAATTCAATTTACTCATATCTAATTTTAAGAAATGACTGTGAGCTTTGTGCTTTATTACTTCAGCAGTTTCTAGACTAGGTTGTACATCTCAAGCAAATCAAGGGCTATTCTTTCTGAAAATCATACCTGATTAAAATCGAAACCATGGAATGCTAAAAATTTTACAGCGCCAGGGTCGAACAGAAAATTTTTGTGAATCGTTGGGAATGATGGCGGTAGGAGGTAAAAATTGTAAATTTTGCCCCGGAAGCAGTTATCTGTAAGATCACAGGTGAAAGCTGTAATTCCAATTTGTATGGGTACGACATGTTCCATAATTTTTCGTAACTTGCGGTATCTTTCCGAAGGGGTGTCAAAAATACTGAAATACCTGGATCAGCAAAAAAACAATCTGGTTCTCAGGTGCTTACCTGGGAGAGTACTCTTTTAGAGGATACAAGGCACTAAATTCTAAATCGAAACTGATGAACCTAGCATCTTCCAATGATCTCTTTATTTCGGGAAATTTTTCCTTAAAATTTATAATGTTTATATCTGTTCTACACATATTTAAATTGTGGGAATGAGCACAGATATGTTTTAGAGGATGATAGGTTAATGTTAACCTTAAAACTTGAACATAAACAAAAATGAAATACAAGAAGAAGAAGTATATAAGCGCGTTTCAAAAGTTCTTTGATCTCCAAAAGTTATTCACTGTCTCTGCTCAGTATACTTTTGGCGTTTTCTCTTGTAAAAACTGTTGCACATCCAGCGTATTTATATCCTTAATCAATGTATTCACAACTGAAGGATACATACAATTTGCACTAGCTTAACGAAATGGAAACACCATTTGATCGAGTAGATATCGAATAACTTGGGGCGGGAATGATAGATCTAATATATCATTACGCGAACAAAACGCACCTAATGTCAAGACTGTCAGGCGTCAGCTGATAGGTACAAAATCATTTATTTATGTACATAAACATATGGGAATCACAGATCAAAATGGTCGGTGATCTTCTGCATGAGTTTCCTGAAGACATGTGAGGATTGCTGTTCATAGAAAGACAACAATAACCTGTATACCTCATCCTCCAGATCCTCCATTCATTAGATCAATTATTGCTATTTTGCAGTTATAGTTTTTTCTGCGTTTTTCATATTCCTATTATTTTTCCTTGTCTTACATTTTATTATAACTCGAGTATGACTTGGAACGAAAGTTGAAGTTTGAGATAAATATTATAATTTTCATCTTAGTTTCAATCAGAAGCATTGATGAGTAATTTCCCCCCATTCACACTTTTGCAATAACAATTTATTTATACACGCCGAGTTAGAAGAAAATGAGACTAACAGATATCAAAGTGTAGCCAATCAGTGAAAAGCTGAAAATCCAGTTTTTGATTATTTTAGTCAATAACAATTTTGGTTGGCAAGAGTTTAAAAAAGAATTGATGGAGATGTGAAATTCTATCGTTTTTTTTACAGATTTAACCACTGAATACTTCATTTTCAACTTTTGAAACTGAGTAACAGATATTTTGTATTTAGACGCAAATCAAAGAAATATTTGTTGATGCAAAAGGGAGTCCAAGACATTGGGATACCTAACAATTCATATGCTTATAGATTTCTTACTTTTTCTCGTATTTTTTCATTCATCACCTGATTAATAAAACCCACTATTGATTCATTTCACACTTTTCTCATAAAGAGGTACACAGAGAGAAAATAATTATATACGGCACATCGCACAATGAGGTATAGAATTAGATTCCTGTGGCATTTTCTTGAATTTTCTCCTGAACTTTTCCACCACCAGATAGACAAAAAATTAATACTTGTATGATGTAATATCAAGCTCATTTTTTATATATCTATACTAAAAAGATGGAAAGTAATTTTATACTCCAAAATTCCACATTGAAACAATGCACTGATAATTTATTCGACTGCTACGAATTATGATAGTTAATGCAATTATTCAGGTCGCTATTGTTCAATTCAATTCAACTAAAAAGTATACATAATATAACTTAATTCAGATTTCAACATATAATGTTATATATTATCTTTCTTTAACAATTTGTCGACTATAATTTTTATCAGGGGATGTAGCTCAGTGGTAGAGCGTTCGCTTTGCATGTGAAAGGCCCGGGGTTCGATCCCCCGCATCTCCAGATTGTTTTTATTTTTTTAAATCTGAAAATTCACGATTTAGGCTTCATCAGTAGTTAGTTCGAGAGCGGCAGTATGTCATGTAGATATTCGGAACAAGATATATCACTGGTGCCATTAGGCAGCTTTGAATTCACCTTAATTAAGTGAACTCCCATTACTGCAGTCATTATTTTGCTGCCGATCACCATAATTAAAAAAAAGCCGTGATTTTCGGTACGATAGGGGAGGCTCTGTAGTCCCGGTTTGGCAGCGTGCCCATGGACAGAGTCCCCGACAGGTAGCTACCGAACTTATAAAAGCTCCAACGTTGTGTTAGCGGTGCCCGTTTGTTCTCCTCAGTTTAGTGAAACATTGCATATGTGTTTTTCCATGGGGGCCTAAAAGTACGTGTCGCTCGTAACCTTTCATTTCACGAACTGAAAAACAAGTGCATACACGGTGGGACCACTTTGTGATTAGCGGTAAGTTTGAAAGTGCAGTGAAGTGAAACATCTATCAAGGATTTATAAAAATATCATTTTTCGTGCTAAAAATGTAGGTACCACTGGACTAAATTCGTAAGAGTAAGACAAACGTTGCTTTCATTTGTTTGTATTGTGTAGGGAAAGTGCTTGGCAATCCGTGACTAGGGACTTTTTTCCAGTTGTTACATAATACCACGGATTTCGTGAAAAGTGCGTAAGATACCAGTTATATATTTTGCGGTTATCCGCTCGCCAGACTTGCCAGAATAATTATGAAGACGAAATACGTGTGCTAAAATCGTCGCTGGCCGGTTGGCAGCCAGCCCAGTACCGGGCCATTCCTTGAGGCAGTTCTAAAATAAAACAACTTTGTACTAATGACGCATTCTAAAATAATATCCCGATTTATTTCTAATAATTATTATCATTGTAACCGCTGGGCTATTTAAAAGTTTGCGCGGCCACGGTCACGTGATAGCTCGCTAGACGGACTCACCAATGCGGTACGTCCACATGCCACATGCGTACAGAACTACTCTGGAACTATTTTCTGAATTTAGTTCCTGAACGAGACAGATAGTTTGAGGTTTGTGATTTCGTTGTTTCCTTCAAACCGAACTTTAGTTTGTAATTTAAATTCGAATTCATTTTCAAATTTGTTTGACGAAGCGATATCAAAGAGCGCATGTCAAGTCATACACGGAAATAATTTAGATAACGTGGCGCTAGTTCTAAGTTTCGACAGGAACTACGAATCGTCCGGGGCAAAGAAAGAACAGGACAGCGAATTGTGTTCCTATATCTGCCAATTTCTAATGTTCTCAGTCCAGTTATTGTAAAAATGAATATTTTGCGTGGCTTAACAGTTCGCGAGAAGATAGGGTATTAGGAAAATCCCAGTGACGTGCTGTGACTGTGCAATTCACGATTTTTTTTAGGTTATAATCCTTCAGTAATCTTTACACGTTTCTCTAGTAAAGGGTGAGTGCAAATTTGAAACGTTCTATTACGTCGATAGTCAGTGCAGTGGTTTGTTATATTTTTTAGGTGTTTCTTTGTAGGTTGCACATTTTTGCTCACGATACTAGTTCAGTTTATGATTTCGAATGATCAATGAATCAAGCGATCCTCAAAATTTTCTTGTTATTCAAAGTCACTTTTTGACAAGCGGACAAATGTTTCATTTCTGAAAATAAGTTCCAAATTTTTGTTCTTATTATTGTTTCCATTTCAGAAAGTGACACTCGGGCACCATGGAGGACGGTCACATTAAAACGGTAGATGAAGTTTTGAAATACTTTGACGCTGATCCAGAACGAGGGCTTACCCTGGATCAGGTCAAAAAGAATCAAGCAAAATATGGACCTAATGGTGAGTACTAATTACGTGATTACTAGTTTCACATGAATGAATCAACAAGCAGTTCTTAGAAAGTAAATTAACTGTACTTAATTAATGATTGGGTTTTTTGTCTTGATATATATTTGATGGATAACCTTAAAACAAGGGGAGTAAAATACTTTGCTAATTGAATAGAATTGGCTGATACTTTATGAAAACTCATTAATACAGTATATTGTATGATTTTCACTATAAAATTAGTTTATGGTGAAAATCATACAATAAACTGTACTTATTAATGGTTTAAAATACTTTGCAATGTCTTTAGTTGCACATCAAATCTCGACTAGAGGAGCTATGAAGGATAGATAATTATAATTTTTTTTCTGTAAATTGAAACATAACACTCAAGTTGTGAATAAGTACATACTATTAGTTACTTTCAAAGCTTAAAATTCATAAAATCATAGAGTAGACACTCTAGTAGTAGAAATAAAAAATATAATGTGTGCTTATGTTTGGCAAAATCATTTTACACAATATCATTTCTTACTGAATGGGACATTATGAAAAATGTAATGTTAGCTAGAAATATTAAAATAAAACAAACTTGTGAATGAAAATAGTGAACTATGATACACATTCTTTATAGATGTGTAGATCTAAGAGTTTCTATATAGAAAGGGGTATATTTCTAGGAGAGATTAATTTTTAGGAAAGAAAAGTTTTGGCTTTCTTCTTCTCAATCTCTATACAAAAAATGTAGGAATATTCCGCTCTTTTCAAAGATATTATTTCGAAATTATTTGCCTTCTTTCTTTGAAAGATTCCCAGTTTCTTTTTTTTTGTATAAAGATGGAGAAGAAAACAGCTAAAACCTTTCTTTTTCAGAAGTTTCTATATATAATTGAAGTTAATTTAAGCCATAAATTTCCAATCAAGAAAATGAATTGAAAGAGTCTTTACACACCCTTTATTAGGTATATTAAAAATATATTTCTATATGAGATGGAAATACACAGAATATATTATATAACATAGAGAACTGTGAACTTTGTGAAACACTTTGTTCAATACATTTTTGTTACATATTTTAACAGTTTGAGTTGAATAATTGAATGCTGAGCCTGAAGGAACACTATTTTCAATTTACAGAAAGTTTATTCAAGAAAGTTTGTTCTGCTTGAAAACCGATTCTTAATCTTTTGAATACTTCATTAGCCATTTGAAATAGTCTTCTCTCCAAAACCGCTCCCAAACACAATGTTTTTTCATTATCTACTGCATTTCCAGAAGAATTTATTATGAACTCCATTAGTGAATCCGTCCCGAAGGACCAAAATACACTACCCTGTACGTAACTTCGACTATTTTGAATAGCAAAAATGTTCATCCTAATGTAATCTAAACAAAAAATTAAAGCCAGGTACTTGGTAACTTTAAGAAAGTTTATACCTGAACAAAATACCACACAAAATATTTCCCTAACAGAATGGTTTATGTTGAAGCCTCGGAATGGTTTGTTTGTTTGTGCAAAACGATAATAAAATCTACATTATCAAAGATGTGGTTATTACCCTATTTATTAACACAGTTTTCAGTATATTTTCATACTGCTCACAGACAAACAAAAATAAACCATGTTTTCTTTGCTTTTCAAACACAGCTATGATTTTTTATTTCGATGAAGTGCGATCTTATTTAGTGGGAATTTTGTCTTCAACTACTCCTCTTTTACAAGAAATATAATACCTGCTAATGGGACAAAGGTAACCTTGGCTTTTCCATCGCGGGTGTGCGAAATTCTTTGACGTCATCACAGTTTTCTTACGTGGCAAAGCGATTATATGCAGAAATTTAATGACGTCGTAAGATGTCTCACATTATAACCTATAATTGTGTTCTGAAAATCATTTGCTAGGAATTCAGTAGGGGAGCTTGCGAGAAACAAACATACTTAGTCTATTTATCAACCTTCAATGATTAATTTGATTATCGTCATTTGATGTGTGGACAACTAGTTTTGTGTGTTCGAAAAAATTTTCAAATTGATTTTCAACAAGGAGACCGAAAAAACAAAATATATTTATTTCTTACCTGCATTAGAAAATGAATACAGATTCTTTGACTTTTGTATTCCACAGTTATTATGTCCACGAACCGTCACAGTGAGATTGGGATAAACCATATAAAAAGCGCACGTATAATGAATAAAAAGATTTTGTTGCCACCCCGTTCATTATGATTCATCATTGGAAAACTTATTTATGGAGGATGCTTTTTTTAACTAAAAAAAACTCACACTCACTTAACCATCGAATAAAATGAAACTTCAAAATGAAAATTAACATTCACCACTTATTAATAATGAAGGTTTATTCCGTTATTATTGTTGAGGCCATATATATGGAACGTGGAGTTTGAAATATCGTTGAAGGTATATTTTAATGAGTTTAGAAAAATCATGAACGCTTCGTTGTTCAAATCTGGGGATATCCGCAGAAATATCACATAATGACACACAAAAACGACCCTATCATTGATCCCTGCGGAACTGCTCGATCAGTCAACTCTAAACTGTTAGATTGACGCAGTACTTGGCCAGCAAAAACGTTTGTCAGTAGTAAAAATATGCTCTCCGACAATTCTGAATATCAACGCAGTGTAGGCACTTAACATTGGTGGCCATGGAATTTATTTGTTTGCCAGCATTGATCCAGAGTCAAGCAGGCCGCCAACTTGTATCTGTTATCTTTTATCGTCGAGTTTGTTTGGCTAGAAGTAGCTAGCAATCAGTAGTTGAATTGAAAGTTCGCTTATCTTTAATTTTTCAACTAATTGATACGAACGCTTCAGTCGATTCTACAGTGGATTTCGATGTAGATGTTTTACTGAAATTTGAGACATAATTTGGAGCAACCACGAAAGTTCTTGCCGCGAGAGGGCGCTAAGGGGCCAAAAATGGTAACACCTAACAGGTGTTACCATTTTTGAATTCTACGAGAACTAAAAATGAAAAATGTGTGAATGGAAGGTTAAAAATGAATTAAATACCAGGTAGGAAATATACCGATGAGCTAGATAAAAAAGGAAATATTGAAAGAAGGTGAAAAAATTAATAATTCTTAATTGAAGAATGAAAATTATGATGAACTAATGAAGTTGAATCTTCGTTTTTATTGTTCACATATTGTTCACCTAAACATATTAATTGATCTATTTTATTATTCCCTTTCATTTCAGGCCCGATGATTCGGTCTCTTCACAGAAGTGTTTCTATTTTTTTCTAAATTTCATACTCTTTGTTAATTTTTTGTCCTATTTGTTCCTATTTTCAACTCATCAAATTCTTCATACCTTGTTGATATTTATAACTTTTTGTTGATTTTTTTCTCATATAGACTCTCTTACCAACTCTTGATCATTCGGAGTAAGCCATTTGACAAGGATATGTTTATAATTTGCAAATTTTCGATAGGAACACCTAATTCATATGTTGAAAGTCATTCATAGATCAAAATATTTAAAGACGATTTTTGATCTTATTTTCATTTTCGATTCTAAAAACATGTTTCCAAGAATGAAACTATAACGAAGTGAGTCTACATAGGATATGAATATTATAAAAATTCTTTGATATCCATTTGAATTGACTCCAGCCTGAAAAATATCGTTTACACGTTAACACCTTTTACTATATTTGGTGTGATTTTACTACATGCGCGTTTAAATAATCCAAATCACAACGAGAAGTTACTTGTGTACGGCTCTCCAGCTTCCTGAAATAACGTTTCTTGCAAGGGGTCGTCGATTACTGGAAATTGCTGGAATTGCTGTATCGAACCAGAAAACTGTACACACTTCAGCAACTTTTGATGCTTTACAAACCTCTTTGGGGTTTATTGTTCTCATGTATGGAGGGAGATCCGCTCCTAACCATATCTTGAAGCTGTCTTGATAGTCTAGAACATCGAAAAAAACGATTCAAATCCAACGTAAATCGCTACTTTCGCACAGGCATCGTTCTTAGAACGCCATAAGGATTTTCCTGGAGTGCTTGTGTTTTGTCTTTAAAAAAACTTCCGAAGAAAAAATCGAGTTGGAAAATAATTCATCACAATATTCAGTGACAATTTTTGAATCTGATTCTTTCAGTTTTCTATTGTATGTCTACACTGTCTACACCATACATAGACACCCCATATTTTCAAAAACGAGTTTCGTGAATGCAGTGTTGATTTTCTGCTGGGAAAGAAATGGCGCTATTTGGAAAATTTCAAGACATATAAAATACTAGTACTATGTTACTGTAACGCTGCTGTTTCAATGTTTAGAACAGTGCTTTTAAAAAATTGTTCTACGGCACCATCTGGTGGCGAGTTACAGAAAAATTGATAGCCTATAAACCTTCTCTATGAAAAATTACTTAAAAAGGAACTATTTGCCAACGTCGACCCCAAAAATCGAACGTAATTCTGAAACTAATATCAGATATTTTTTTTAAATCGAGTCTGTATGTAACAATCTACAGAGTATTCCATTAGTATTATGGTATTCGCGTAGTTTTTCATCAGATAACATTAACCGTGCTTCCTACACTCTTTTCTTTTCGTTTCTCATTTCCTTACTTCAAAATCTCCAGTTCCATCGATTTTTCTGTCTTCTGGCTCAGTTTCTTTCTGAATTCCTGTGTTGCATATCTTTTTATTCAAAAACTACAATGCTCATGTTCATTTTATTCATTCGCAATTTCAAAACCATCCATGACGTCGATTCAAACGTTGTGATCCTCGAACGAAGATTATGATCTATAATTATTATTATCGCAATCATCCCTTATTGCAATCATCAACGCAATCATTAAATTTTCATGACCAGTGTTTATCTTTTGTCTAAATCGATATTCGATAACCATTACTAGTGTATGTAAGATAACCTCGAAACACAAATACTCTTTCTAATTTGTGTATCCTTATAATTATCGTCTATGAACTATACAAACAAGTACTGTGGTCTTATCGATGTTCTGT